ATTGCTCATGTTGACCAACTTACTTTTGTGATAAGATATGTTTCATTTTCTGGTAAGATAAAGGAACGATTTTTAGGGTTCGTTCCTATAGATAAGCACAACTCTTCATACTTGGAAAAAAAGTTTTAGAAACTTTAATGAAATTTGTCCTAGATATTAAAAACTGTCGAGGTCAATCTTTTGACAACGCTTCGAACATGTCAGGAAAGTATTCAGGTTTACAAGCACGTATTAAAGAACATAGTCCGAGTGTGGTTTTTATTCCTTGTGCTAACCATTCATTGAATTTAGTTGGAAATTTTGCTGCTGAGAGCTGTAACACCGCGGTTCAATATTTCATGTTTGTGCAAAAGCTATTTACATTTTTTTCATCATCAACTCATCGCTGGAAAATGCTGAACAGCAAAATAGATGTTGATCAGTCTCTCTCGTTAAAAAGGGTATCAGATACAAGATGGTCAACAAGAGCTGATGTTGTTTTAGCTTGAAAACTGAAATATACAATAATAAAAGAAACGTTAACTGACCTATGCAATGAACAGGATGAAAAACCTATCACTATAGTTGAAGCAACATCACTACTTAAAAAAATGAATAAATACGAAACCGCTCTTATGATTGTTATTTGGAATTGCAAAGAATAAATTCTACCAGTAAGTCACTGCAATCAATAGAATGTGAATTATTTAAAGGATCAATGCTACTTAAATCATTAGACAGTTTTATTGAGAATTTCAGAAATGATTATGAAAAAGTTATGACAGAAGCAACCGATTTATCAGGATTACAATCTTTTAGTGAGGAAGATGAAGTAACTTTTAACAGAAGAAAAAGAAATGCGTTTTTTGATGAAAATAAAGAAGAGTATAAATTTACAACTAGAGAGAATTTTAAAATCAATACATTTTATGTCATATGCGATAGTATTAAAACACAATTGCTACAAAGAGTTCAAAAATATGAGGTTGTTTTGAAACATTTTCGTATATTTCTTGATTGGAATTTGTCAGAAGAAAAAAAACAAAAATCATTGAAAGAATTGAAAAATATTTACAGAAATGACATTGATGTTTGTAATTTGGAAGATGAACTAAACCATTTTTTATTTCTTTTGAAGGAAAATGAGGACGCCATTATGAATAAGCCAGATAATTCAAGTAATAACAAAGATTTATCATTTGAAAGAATCTATAAAGCCGCTAAAGAAATGTCATGCACATTTCCCAATATTAAAATATTACTGTTTTGAAAAGAACTAAAAATTATTTGAGGAGTACAATGGGGGAACAAAAATTAAATAATTTAGCTGTTTTGTATATAGAACAAGAAATAATGAATAGTGTTGACACTGCCAAAATTATTGATGAATTTGCAAGAAGAAATTTATTTGAAAAAAATGTTATTTGTCGATTATTATTTTCCAATGATCTCTTTTAATCTTCTTTTCGAATTACATTATTGTTAAACATATTTTTTTGACTATTTGGAAACTCTGTATTTTTTTTTATTTGTATTTGACCAAATTTTAATCTATGAAGCACATCACAAATAGCATGAAGTTTGAAATGGCGCTCGACAAAAATATTTGCAATGATTGTATCCCAGGAAGGGTGTTCACCATAGGAAAAAGACAAACCCGAAACACTAAGCACCGGAAGAGTCTTAAATGAACGCGGACACGTTCCATAATATATATATATATATAATATATATATATGTGTGTGTGTGTGTTGTGTTTGTAAATAAAAAGAATTTGAACATTTAATTTGAATAATTCAGTGTTTAATATTTTAAAAATTTCGCACTTAAAATATTAATGTTTGTAACAAATCTGTCGACAAAATATATTCAAATTCGTTAAAAGTTGTTTTTAGTTCAAAGATGTATATTGCCTACACGGTTATAAGTTGGAAATAATTGAAAGTTAAAAAGCCTCTCCACGGCACACTAAGTTTGGGGCCCCAAACTTTTTTCTGCTTAGGGCCCCCGCTTGACTTAATCCGCCACTGACCATGACAAATTGTCTGTAATTACAAAACCTAAAAATTTATTTGTATACACTCTTTCAATACTGTTATTATCAATTTTAATAGAAATCCCTAAATTATTAGTAACAATTGTAACGGGTTCGATATTAACTAAACGCAACGACAGATATATTATTAATCCTCCTTTATTAAAACCTAACTAAATAATTAATCGAATAAACCAAATTAACGAAAATGCAACGATACAATAACCAACTTTACTAATGTCGACTCCGGCACAAGAGCCGCAGAAAAGAAAAAAGGCTTAACTCATTTGCGCAGGCTATTTATAGACTTGCACAGTGCTCTCTCCTAGGTAAGCGCTTGTACTTTGGTCTAGTAGCCAACCCACGTGACCATACGGCGCTCTCCCCTAGGTAAGCACACGTGCTTTGTGCTAGTAACTGGCCCACGTGACCATGTAATGGAACAATTTCCATTACATACCTCCAACGCCTAGGAGGAGGAATGTAACATTCATCTCACATACAAAAAATAAAAACTAAACAAAACAAAAATCAATGTCCAAAAATGCAATAAATATTTCTTGACTTTTACATTTGGCAACATTACGTGCACCTGGACGATAATAGAATTGTGTATAATACTCTTGATTTTGGATAAGCAAATCCATGATCGGAATTTTAGAATAGCCCAAACTGAAGTAATCTTTGTGCCTCTTTAACTCCGGCATTGTATAGTCTGGCATTGGCACAGCTTCGCATCTGATGTTGCTGGTGATGTTGGCCACCACTTCTATTCCTTGATGGATCTGATCTTTCTGAGTCCTGTCTGACTCTGGTCATATAATTCATTGGGGGCCTGTTCGAGTAAAAATGAGGTTGCATTTGACTGTTGAGATGGAAGCTTGGCCCCGAACCGAGAAGGGGCTCAACTTTGAAATCCTCTAGTTTCTGATACTTGCTGAGCCATCCCCTCAACCTGCCATCGACCAGCACATGTTTCCTTAAATATTTGAGGAAAGCCCAGAACTTTTTCAGGCCATATAACTGGCCATTTTGATAATCTTTGATGGTCTCCTCTTGGAAGTGCTCAAGCAAGTCAGGTCGATATCTTTTCTCCAAACCATAACTATAGAACCGAAACAGACATTCCAAGCCATACCTGAACCCTTTATTGGCATCTTCAATGGCAAGTTGCCTGAACTCCTCGTACATTTTTTGGTGAAAGTGGTGACGAAGAAAAAATGACCAAAACCTGAAAAGAGTATTCATTTCTGTAGACTGCCCGATCCCAACCTTCCGACGATCCTTGAGGCATTTGGCTCGGTAAGAATTGTACTTGTGCCAGGTGAAGTTGTTGTCCTTCAGTAGCTCATGGGATGGGTGTTCCAATGTTACACACGCCACTGACAAGCTTTCTGAAACTGTTTGACTTCTTTCATTGGTTGTCGACGATGCTAAGGACGCGTATGTTGACGGAAATTCTACTGGAACTTGTCTTGATGTCGACGGCTTCGCAGAAGTTTTGAGGCTCTCCGAAAAATTCTCGGCATTGGACGATCTGGGTTGTAGAGTCTCACCCGAAGATTTATGATCATATTTTGAGGAGCTGATGTTGTCAATACTTTTATAATTTGTTATTTCATCATTAGTTTGTTCCTGATGTTGTTGCGGTTGCTTTTTTGACTGCCTCTGCTGTTGACGTTTTTGTTGTGATCTTTTTGTTTCTTTGTTCGTTTCACAGCGCATGACGTTTCTAGTGGCCGTAGGTGTATTTCTATTTTTCCATGTACAGTGCTTTGCAATATGACCAATCTTCCCGCAAGAAAAACAGGTTTGTTTGGGTGAAGCTGATTTGTTGTTGCTACTTCTATACATCTGGTGCTCATTTTCCCGAAATGATTGTGTCTGATTGATACTTTCCGGCATATATGTATTGTCGCTCGAAACTTTCATGTTCATGGCAGTTTCATATTTGTCGATCGTTTGTGCCAACACGTCAGGACTCATCCAGGAAGCTGCTTGCTTTTGTGACAAAATAAATTCCAGAGTATGTCTTGATAGCAACTCTTTCATTCTATCTGCACATATCAATTTCATTGCATCTTCTAATCCCGTAATGTTACGGCTTTGAAAATAGTGGTTCAGCGTGCCGTATAATTTCGCCCCGAAACTCGTGTACGATTCGCTTTTTTGTCTTCTCAGGGCGAAGAATTCATCTCTCAATTTTGTCGGGTTTAACCTGAACTCCTGCAGAATGAGTCTTTTAATTTCGCTATAATCCTTCAGACCGTCGGCGGAAATAGTATGCAACCACGTTTTGGCCTTTTCGTTCAAACTCATTATCAACAAATTGGCTTGAATTTCTCCGTCTACGTGATAGTTTCGAAAAATTTTCTCTACGTGTTCAAAGAATGCAGGAATATCTCTTGGCTCTAACGGACAAGTTCCAATCAGATGTTTTAACGACTCCGCGAAAAATCGAGTCTGTTGCATTAGTTTTATCGTGTTATTATCCTCACTAGCATCATTGGCCACTCTTCGATTATTCATACCTTCTACCTCTAGTCGTCGAATTTCTAATTCTTGACTCTAAGCCTGAATTCGGCTTCATCTTTTTCACGCTGTCTGGCCATCTCTGCTTCATCTCTTTCACGCTGTCTGG